CTTGTGACAAATTTACCCTCCATTAAATTGGATTAATACAAAAAAAATCACAAATTGGTAAACCTATGAATAACGGAGGGGTAAAACCCAAAACTAGTACATTCGTCAACTCTTATGTGTCATCTAACTCAAAAATTTGACGGAAAAATGTAATGGAAACTAACGGAAGGTAAATTGTCACATGTGTACCAGTTTGAGGTTTTTGATGGTCAAAAAATTAGTTTTGAATAAATTTGTCACATGTATACCAATTTGGGGTTTTTCGTGGTGTTAACCCTTAAAGTTAACATGAGATATCATTTTAATCAGTCTTCCAACTCCAAATTTGTCACATATTCTTACATATAAAGGTAATTTATCATTGGTTGATAATAGGGTCCTAAAATATATTGATATACGTATACAAAACCGTCTAAACTTTTATTTTAAAAATGTATTTAGATACATTGACATCTATAGGGAGTGCTACAAATGTTGAAGAATTATAAAAAGATTAAGTAAGCTACAATATCAACTTTTCAATGTAATAAATACATTGATAATGTTGTGATTGTTAATTTTTTTTCCCGTGATAATAAGTGGGTTAATATTCTAGTGTAAATTAATTGAAGAAAGTCAAATTTTTTTTGGTCCAAAAAGAAAGTCAAATTTCAGTGGGGGCAACTTTTATGTACATGAAACCTTGGTCTCAAATGGTCTCATTCTCTGGAATGACGTGCGGTTAGGTCACTTACAAATCAGGCCAAAATTACGGAAGATCCTTATATATACCAAGATCCACTAAATAAGGTTTATCTTCAACGTTGATCATGTAAATTGTTCACATGAGATCTATATAGGATCCACGTGATTGACAATGGAGACCGATCGAGGTAGACCCAAGTCCAAGCAAGACTGTCCCCAAAATTACTGTCTCTCGAGGATCGAGTAATGTCTCAAAAGGGAGAGAGATTTAGTCTTGATCATTCACTAGATGACATCGATCATGATAATCGATCGTGCGGAATTTAGGTGGGCCTCACATAAGGGGTCCACATAATTAACGACCGAGATGGATCCAAATTAGTAAACTCGGGACCGGGCAAGTTTTTCTCCAAAATGGGGAAAAAAAATATTTTAGGTGCATCGAATAAGTGCAAACCCTGTGCACTTAAAAGCCATTGATTTTGATGGACCCGACACATACATGTATGATCTAAGGTTGTGGTGCGGTGGATTCACACGTAACTCGAGACCTTTAGGAGAAGAAAATCACGAATGCGACACGTGGCAAAGCAAAAGGGCTTCTTGCTTTTAGCAGTCGTTTACTACTCAATTAATCACTGTCGCTCCTTAATTAAGCGAGTTGGGGTAGGTTTACACGAATGCTTTGATCCAAAGCAAACGAATGATGAGCGACTGATTAGAGACTAAACCCACTGCACTGACGGAAGCAGCGACTTTGCTTAATCAAGAGATTACTGACTAATCACAACGCTTAAGACCAACTTGAAGTACTCGGGTCCCACCATCGCGAAATCTCAACTCTTTGACGATCATTTGAGAATTCTGCGACGGAAAGTATTGAATAAACACGTCTTTTTCAGTCATAGATTTTCGTGTGTTGAACTTTTGCTGAATCTTACAAAGATTGCTCATTCTTTTGAAGTAAAACAAGTTATGTGCGAAGAAGAAACCCATCTCTTCTTACACTTGGGCAAAAATATTTCATTCTTGATTTTTCGTGATATTCTTTCTTTAGTCAGTTAATGATGTATGTTTTCAGTTATTAGCGATATGCCAAAAGATATTATATAATTATATAATTACAAAGATAAATTTATTATAATTTTTTTTTATTTCTAGACAAAATAGTTGTGAAATATAATTACTTTGAACCAATATTTTAATAAAATATTTTAATTTAAATGTTCCTACTACAATAAGCAGGTTTTATTAATTATAATACAATAGATGTAAACACAGGGTGACATCATTCTAGACTTTATCAATAATATCACGGATTTTTCTCATATTTTTAGGCTTTGTTTGGGAACTCAAATTAATTATTTTTTGGAAAATATTTTCTAAATTATTTATTTTTTGTGAAAAAATGGACCCTTTTTGCAAAAAAAATATATTTGGAAATCGTTTTCCAAAATATGATTGGTTATATATCTTTAAAAATTAGTCAATGAAAAATATTTTCACCATCAACAATAATATATGCCTAAACAGTTGCATGGATGATAACAATATGTATCATTCATTCAATTTTATAAGCGCTATAAGTGATTTTTTTTTGGAAAATGTTTTTCAAATCATTAATTTTCCATGAAACAAGCGATCCTTAATTTCAAAATATATGGAAAAATATATTTCAAGATACTTTATATTTATTGATTTGCCCATTCCAACTTAAAATTAACAAGATAAGTTCAATGAGATAAATGTTTGTGAATGATAATAAGAACTTATTTCAAGATACTTTTATCTTTAACTAATTTATCGGTCAGATGCATTTAAACATACATTAAATACTTATTTAATACGTTATTGAAGTTTGAGGACAACAAATCATTGAACTAGTACTAATTGGTTGAATATGGGGTATGTCGCATAATTGTGTCAGTTGGTTCGCCAAGCAGCAATCATAGATGTAATATTAAGTGCCACGCGTTGAGCACAGGAGTAAACGCTCTTTTAGTTCTGACTTTAACTATATTTAATAGATACAAAATAATACTAATTCCAAATGTAATTAGATAAGAAAAATTTGGGAAAAATGTCTGAAAAGTCCTAAACATATTGCATTGATGCTAATTTAGTTATAAACTTTTTGACATAGTGTCAATTCAGTCCTTCTGGCTAATTTTGGCCGGATATTGCTGACGTGGACGTCAGCCGGCTTACATGCCATTGTTGATATTGACGTGAACGTGGATAATTTTAAATAATATTTAATTATTTTTTTTCAATTTTTTAATTATTTTTTTTCGATTTTTTCTTTCTTCTTCCTTCTATTGGTGACTTGCCATCGGTCACAGGCGATGGCCGGGCGGGCTAGCCTCGCTTGGGTGAGGGTTGCTGTCGCTCGGCCAAGCAAGGGCGAGCCATGGCAATGTTGCTGTGGCCTGGGCGAGTGCTGGCCTTGCCAGATTTGGCCTGGGGAGCCCTCACTGGGGCTTGCCCTCACCTTGGCCAAATCTGGTGAGGCCGGCCCTCGCCGGGGCTCGCCCTCTCCTAGCTAGGCGATGGCAACCCTTACCTAGGCGAGGCCAGCCTACTCGGCCATCACCATTGCCATCGCCTGCTTAGCCATCGCTTGTGGCCGATAGCTTGTCATCGGCAAAGGGAAGAAGAAAGGAAAAAAAGAGAAGAAAGAAAAGAATAAAACAAAGGAAAAAATCAGAAAAAAATTAAAAAATAGAAAAAGTATTAAAATATTATTAAAAATTATCTACGTCAGCACCGACGATGTCATGTAGGCCGCCCAACATCTATGTCTGCAATATCCATCTAAAATTAGCCAGAAAGATTGAATTGACACCATATCAAAAGGTTTATGACTAAATTGATACTAAGGGTGAGCAAGATAGACCGCCCAAACCGGGACCCGACTGACCGGTTTGGTTCGTTTCTCGGGAATATCGGTCTGGTTCTCGATTCCTAAAAGTGGAATCGATTTCCGGGCGGTCCGATTCCCGGTTCTAGGGTGGGAACCGGACTGGACCAGACCGATAAATATATATTTCTAATTTTTTCATATATATAATATTTAATATATATATATGAAAAATATTTAATATTGGTCCCATTGGAACCGATAGTTCAATTTTTTCATATATTATATATTTTTTCAATTTTTTCCATGGCCTTATATGATCAAATCAGAACTACAAAGGAAAGAACGAAACAATCGGTTCCCGATTCACAAATAATATTTAATATTGGTCCCATTGAATTGGACCGGATCGGACCGTCGGTCAGGTCCAATCCATGGTCCCAAGACTAGCCGGTCCGGTCCCCGGTTCTAGAAACTGGGAACCGGTCCTTCCAGTCCGGTTCCCGATTCTTGGATTGGACAGGACCGGGCCGGGAACCGCTCACCCCTAATTAATACTAAGAAAAGGTTTATGACAAATTGGTATAAATGTAATAGGTTTAGGACTTTTCTAACACTTTTCCCAACAAGGGAAAAGTAACTTTAACCTTGAAAAGCTTATAAGTAAATCATACACTAGTAAAGCATAAAATGGACCCACTTCTTGGTAATCTCCATATTGTAATCGATGAGCATTGTTTAATCAATAAATTATAAGTAATCATACACTAGTAATCCAAGCGTTTTTCCATACTGGAAAAACTAATGGAAGGGCAGAGAACTCGGAAATCAGGTGGCTCCCTTTAGTGACACTCTGACAAATACCAAAGGTGTCATTACATCATCACATGGCTTTAAGACATATAGCAAAGTCAGCTACCTAAATTACCTCCTAAGTGATTTTGACCGATTCCTATGCCTTCATTCTATCATTGGTAAAAAGAACTGAAATTATAAATGAGCACTTAAAAGTCTTATTTTCTCGAGCCAATGTGGACCACAGATAATTTAGTAAGAGAGACCAAAGGAATAGTAACCAAGGGAAGCCAAAATTAGGCCGACAAATTATCATTAAACTTGCAATTAAGAGAAATTAGAGGAAAATAAAAAATTATTATTAATATTATTATTACTATGATTGATTTTTGTTTTTGTGGAAAAGCAGCTTGAACCAACCGACAGACAAGGAGGAGCATGAGTTCAAATTTCTCTGAGTTTTACTTGGCTTGGAATGGAAGGGACATGAATAGGTGTGGCAGTTGGAACCAACTCACTCGCTCACTCCCTCACACTCACCAATGAACTATCCCATTTTAGTTTCTTTGACTGGGGACGCACGGTCCGCCGCAAAACACGCCGCCCCACCAGCAAGCTTATCCCCTTCGCCTCCGCTTGCGGCGGCGCCACCACCCTTTCACGGTCGTGGAAAAAGTTTCCACCACCCCCTTCCCTCGCCCTCCACTTGTCACCACCACCACTCCCCTTCTTGCACAACCTTGTTTTCTCTCCATCGTTCTTGTTTCCTCTCTCTCGCTCTCCGTCCACACAACCACAACTAAAAACTAGGACTGGCGTTGCTTCACCATACAACCTCACAACCACTTTCACTATACAAAGAACAAACTCCAACCCATCTTCTCCTTTGTCTCTCAATCTTAACCACAAAAAAAGCCCTCCCTTTCCATCTCTTTCCAACGCACACCTCCATCTTCATCCTCGTCATCTTCACCATCACCATTCTACTCTTGGGCTTCCCCCCTTTTCTTTTTCTGACTTCAATCTTTATTTAGGATTGATCGAGTTTTCCTGATGGCGTTGATCGTCGACCAACAATTGAATTTCAAGCACTTTTGCAAGATTTGCAAGAAGGGTTTCATGTGCGGGAGAGCCCTCGGAGGGCACATGAGGGCCCACGGGATCGGCGACGAGGGTGGGCACACGGACGACGAGGACCCTGGGAGCAACTGGGAGGATAAGAACATCGGGGACAACGTGCCACCCGGCAGCAAGCGCATGTACGGGCTGCGGGCCAACCCCAATCGGCTCAAGAGCTGCCGGGCTTGTGAGAACTGCGGCAAGGAGTTCTCCTCGTGGAAGTCATTTCTTGAGCACGGCAAGTGCGGTGTGGGCTCGGAGGATGTTGGCGACTCGTACTCGTCATCCCCAGAGTCTGAGGACGACGAGGACGGCGCCTCAAGGAGGCGGGGGTGCAAATGGTCTAAAAGAAAAAGGTCCTTGAGAGTGAAGGTTGATAATATTAATTCCAATTGCCCATCAAGTGAAGAGGAAGACCTGGCAAATTGCCTAATGATGTTGTCTAATGGCATGGTGGACCCGTCTTCTGCGGAGCCGGAGGAGTCATGCGCATCGGCGAGCAAGGATGAGGAGCGCCGGAGGCCGATAAGTTTCATAGCTCCTCTTGCCTACAGATCACCACCCACCACGGACAAGGCCAAAGGGGTGATCGCCAATAAAGGCCAGGGCCTTTTTGAGTGCAAAGCGTGCAAGAAAGTGTTTAATTCCCACCAAGCATTGGGAGGCCATAGGGCAAGCCACAAGAAGGTCAAGGGGTGCTTTGCCGCGAGGCTTGACCACGCGTACGACTGGGTACCCGATGAGGATGCCGTCACGCAAGATGAGTTCTTCTCCACGAAGTCCATGGCGTCAAATTCGCCGTTCGACCACGGCCTCAGCTCCTCAATGCCGTCCACCTCGAAGCGGAAGTCGAAGGTGCACGAGTGCTCAATATGCCACCGGGTCTTCTCTTCAGGCCAGGCACTGGGCGGGCACAAGAGATGCCACTGGATAACGTCAAACCCGGCAGATGCGCCCTCGTTCGCAAAGTTGCAACACTTGCATGAACAGATGGAGCAAATCCAGCAAATGCCAGGCAAGTTCATCGACCCCGACGACCCGCTCACCCTGAAGCTCGACCTGAACCTCCCGGCGCCATCCGATGACCTCCGGCGGGACCCGATGAACAACCCTGCTGCCAGGTTCGCTCGAGTGTCCGCGGAGATGTACTTGCAGTCATGGCTGGGGCTGCATCCTAAAGAGAGGGAACATAATAATCAGCACTTGGAAGAGAATGACTTCAACAGCAGCAAGAATGATAATGACAAGAATAATAATATTAATATGGACAATAATAATGATGATAGTAACATCGCAACAACTCATAGTGCAGTCGACGATGAAGCAGAGAGTAAGGTGAAGCTAGCAAAGTTGAGTGAACTCAAGGATGTGAGCACGAGTGGAGGGTCTTCTTCATGGTTGCAGGTGGGAATTGGTTCAACAACTGCTGAAGAAGCAACAAAGTGAGGATGTTTTTTTTTTCAGCCCTCCAATTATTTATGATCTTGATTTCTTTCCCTTCATTTTTTATGTAAGTAAGAAAAGTTCAATTCGCAGGCACACAAGTTGACCATTTGATAAGTTATTCGTTTAATTCTTCCCCAATGTAAATTAACGGGAACATAATTGTGTTCATAATAGAAAGAGAAGTTGGTCATTCCTTGTTGTAGTATTACATGTTCTGCTGCATTCCAAGATGAATCGTTGTCCTGTGTTCTTCTTTGTTTTTGATGTGCTTATTTAGTGTTTGTCATTACTCGCTGGGTTAAAATTTTTTGTTCTAGAATCTTACAGACATTTCATGATCCTTTTTTAGTTTCTGCAGACAATGCTAGCATGCATACTGCCATGTCTGCATCTCTATATATGTCCAAATTTGAATTAAACACTCAATGTAAATGTATACGAGGCTAATGTACATATTTGTAATGTCTAAGACTATAAAAATGTTTGCACTCGAGAAGGATAAATCGAAAGGGTGCTCATAAGCGGTTGGATTTGATTTTCACCTGAACCTTTGCAATGTTTGCACTTGTAGCATTGGTTGTGAATTGTGTGGGACACAAATTTAAGCTCAAAATCCAACATCAGGGTCGCCAGGGCAGACCCATTTTTCATTTCAAAAAATGGATCTACCAGTGAATCATGTATATTTATTTACTAAACTCATGGACAAAATAAATGCACAACAATCTTGTTAATAAAATGAATACCCTAGTTAATAATGACGAAAACATTTCCTATGTTGCGGCACCAAATAAAAACCTGCTCAATAGCTCGATAGGTGAGATTCAAGAAAGACCGTAAGCCAATATATCTAGTTGGACACAATTTCATTGGGAAAGTTGCAAATTTAGTCCTACTTCTATTGTACGGATTTGAATTCAGTTCTAAACCTTTTAATCGAATGAATGTGACCAAAACCTTCTAATGAAAATGCAATCAAGTCATCTCAGCTAAATCCTGCTTGAAGTTTCTAACGTGGCAATCCAGTCATTACTGGCCGTTGTACGTGTCACAACCGCTGATCTGACATGGAGTTACGACCCACAGACGAGAGAGGCGTACATGGCAGTGGATCGGAAGGTGATATAGCAGCATCAGGAGGTGCGAAGGTCGTTGCAGGCGAAGCCCTCGTTGAAGTTGTTTTCTTTTCTGGGTTTTCAATCTTAATCCCACCCCACAAATTTTAGCTGTTTAATCTCTCGATTTGAACTGAATCGTAGGAACTACACCGCAGTCCAAGAACCAAGGCAAATCGGTGGTCCCATGGGAAGAAGATGATGAGCAGAGAAAGTTGGTGCCTTAACTCCACATCAGCACTGACCCAGAGGTAATGTACTCGTGAAATTACCACGTCGAATAATTAGTGACCATTTCAAATCGGCAAGTCAAAATGATCAAATTTAAGATTTGAGTGAAAGTCGGTGATTTTTTATTAAGACAAAAATGAGCTCGATTGAGAATTGGTACCAGGCCTAAAATTAGGGATTTATGGGGGAATTGGGCCTATTTTGTTGTAATGGAGTAAGATTTAGGCATGTTTATTGTATTTACCCAATCTTTTAAGCACGACAAAAACTGAGTTTTTCCCTTACATCACCGGCTCTCGACTTTTTAGGACCACGTTATACATTACCCAATCTTTTAAGGACCTTTCATACAAAGTCAATAGTGTGCAAGTTTTCATTGGATCAATGTCACTAAAATAGAACTGGTCGACGTAATGGTAAAAGTCCAATAATGCTATTCGTATCGAAGCAAACTATTTCTCAAGTTGGAAATAATTAACTTATCATTCCACAAATTTAACAATCAGAAGCACCATTATTGTAGATATAGCTCTTAAGTAGGAGGTTATTTTTTTTTTTGTTAAGAGTTTCCAAAATAGTTCCTTAATTTTCGAAAATTTGGGAAATTTTGGTGGGCCCAAACTTTATGGATGAAAATGGGTTATATATATATAAAACTGGGGCCAAAGCATGATTTTGAAAAGTTGGGAATTGAGGCCTCCTCCAGGCCCCTCTAAATCCAGCCACGAAAGCGTTGAACTCAAATTTTTTGTTTCTAATTGTTCAATTCGTGTTCACTTGGTCAAATTTGATATATCATCACGTACACTTAAAAAAAAAAAGGGGAAAAAGAAGGGAAAAGGCTATTGTCGAAATAGGTTTTTGTTTCTAGTTTATTCTATCGTATGATCGCCCGTTGACGTGAGAAACATGCATGCCATCATGAAGATGCTGAAACTCCAAATTTCTCTTTGATGGCAGTTAAGGCGGCCCGTCATGTTATAAGGATGGTAAGTTCTAGGTAACTTAGGTCAAGCCATGAATCATTTTATAAGATGGGATATCGAACCGATGATCGTACTGACCTTGACGAACACACTTGAATCGTGCCCGTCTACGGGCATCGAGTATCCCTCCGCTCAATTCCGGGTAAGGCCCTGATCTGATATGTTATTTTGAATTGGAAAATTCGCGAGTTAAGATTTGCGAAAACAAATGGGGAAGAAAAAATTGAGATCTCCTTTCTCTGGCTTTCCTTTGGGTCTCTCTCAGTTTGATTTTTTGGTTTGCATAAAGATTTTTCCCTTTTTCCAGAGCCCAAATGATGGAACAAAGAACTAGGGTCGGTTCAGAAATATTTTTGCTCTTGGGCTTTAAGTATTTGCTATAGCATGCCAAAAGCGATCAAAGTGAATTGTATCCTCTTCCATTACCTGATCCCAAAAGTGAAACCCTAATCCAAGAGAACTGGTCCGAGATATCGCTCGACCGCCGCATCAAAATGTAGCTTTATAATTAAACCCAGCAGAGCTATGAGGAGATTTTTCATATCCTCTTTGATTCTTCATTATCTCTCGGGCTTGTGTACTGATTGTGCATATCCTTTATGGACATTGCATATCTTTGATTGATCATGATTTATTGTAATTGATATTGTAATAACTTGTTACCTTAGTAGTCATCCCGTAAATCTTATAAATTGTTTGATGCACTCTTTGTCAAAACCTGCAGAGACATACAGAAATTACACAGTTGTCTCTCCTGCATGTTTCTTATTTGAAGCTTATACGCGCAAAAAAAACATTCGGGTCTTCCCAAGGATACTAAAGTCCAAGAGATTTTTTCAAGGTTGAGACTCACTTCCACACGTTTTCGACCAAAGTCCACGAACGTGATGAATTGGACATTGACTTAGGCCGAAAGACTTTACAAGTACCGCCAAGTGGAAATAGGCAAAGTTTCAACTCAACCACACTATATAGCCAGCATCATTAATATCTATAATCTTTTCCAATTAACAGAGAGAGATAGAGAGAGGAAAAGATGACGGTTTCACAGTAGTCAACCCACCCAAAGTTTGACTTTTGCAGCACCACCATAAAGGGCATCGCCCTAACTCTATAACTAAGTTGCCCCACTGTCCATATTTTTTGCTTGGCTCAATGTCAATGTGGGGTCCAATACTGTGCTTTCTTCAAGAGCATAGCTCATAGTGGTTCGAAATAGGGTTGTTTGAACCGAACCGGAGAATCGAACTGGACTGAAATTTCGTACATTTTCTACAGGGCCTGTATGGGTCTCCTACACATTCGGTCTCCCTCCAACGAATGACATAAGTTTCGGTCTGGATATGCTAACGTGGTATTAAAGCTAGGTTTTGCCCCTATGTATTCTGCATGTGTGGCTCCTCACTTAAGTGATTTCGACTGTATGAGTACCTCTTCGAAGAAACTAAAACCTAAATCATTAGCGAGGTTAGCAAGGGGAACTGTGGATTTTCCCAAGGACCACATTCATGAACAGACTTCGTTTCATTCTGATGAAGCTCATATCTCTCATCTTTCGGATACAAGTAGAAGAATTGATATAAGTGACATTTGCATAGGGCTTCCATAGGAACTTCGACGCAGGAGCCTCTATTCGTGATTCAGAGTAGAGGGTCAAGCTCGATGGCTTGAGGATCAATGCTCAGGTTTGCGCCTGGTGGCTTGGTGCCGAGCTTCGGACGACGGGGGAGCAGTGATGAGGCGGGCGAGCTGGGGTGGCGGTGGCCCAGGGTTGCGGAGCCAATCGATTTTGTCCCTTCCCTTAGTCCACCCTGTAATTTTCCTAGTATGAAGTTGATTTAGTCAGAAGTGCTATGTGGTCTTGTCTTCGTCCACGGTCGACTTCATTGACTTAGAAATTCATTATAAAAGTCACGTATGACTCTTTGTCAGAATTTGTCATCGGAGGCACTAAAATGATTGTTGCTTCTTCGATATGGCATTTAAGTAATCGATCGAAAAGTTTGACATTAAAATGAACGTTATACGAAATTTACGATACTTCTAATATTCTTTCCCTCCCTTTGTTTTATATCTTAAATTTTGTGTTGGACATTTTATGGATTCATGTCGTTAGTTACTAAGAATGCTACATTTAAAACACTATTTTCTAATACTTAGAGATATGAACTTAATTATAATCATTTTCAATTCATCAGGGCCATAGTAAAATTCTCATAAGTTTGGGTTGACAATCCCTCACGGGACGGGATGTATATTTTTAATATCTGATAACTAAACCGCAATTATTGCGCAAATTGACATGGATGTTGGATGTCGTGTTGACCGTTGAGTGGGTCATTTGACCCAATTGTACGGCCAAAGATTAACCCAATTTATCTTTTTTCGTCATTTAATATTATACACTCCTTTTTTTTCCCAATTAGTTATGAATTGTAGAAGGTTCTTTAACTTCATTTTCATGTTTATGTTCTTATTCTAATATAGATGAGTTCTTAAATCCATTAAGTTACGGAAATTGCTGACATAACGATACGTCACGTAGGTCGTACGACTATGATTAGATTGCCACGTCAGTAGCTCTTGGCAAAAATTGATCGAAATGACTGCATTGGAAGTTTGCGCAAATATTTAGCGCTAAATTGATGAAATGAAAAATTCATGACTAAATTAGTATCCATATGATAAATTTAGCACTGATAGTGTAATTTTCCCTTGTCGCTTCCCCGTAAAGCGGATAGATGCTAACTTACAATTGGGGGTGGAAGATGAACTTCAAAGACTCCTTTGTCAGCAAGGCAGCCGGTCCGGTGATTGACGGGATGATGAACAACCCTAGAAACTGGATAGATTGATG